GTCTGCAATAGCAGACAACACACCCAAGCAGACAACTTCGCTCCAATGCGAATGTGGTGGAGGACAATTAGAACTCGTAGTCAGCCTAGCGAGGGGCGGAGGCCTCCCGTCCCCCACTGTTCCTGCCCTTATTGTGCCCTATCCAGACCGTTTTTCGACCTCATTCCTGCACAAATGGTATCAGAGGGGGCGTCGAATTCAAACCATGTGCAGATCTCCGAAACCATTTTTTCGTGAACAGTGCCTTTAATTCGATGTTTGAGCATTGGATGGGACAGTCCGACGAGAAGGATGAGGGACGGTTCGAATCGGTATGTTCGGGAAGGGAAATGAGTGGAAATTAATTGACTTAACCAGGACTCACATTGTCATCTTCAATTTGTTTGTTTAGTGGAGGCCCAGAAAGCTTCTATTCAGCCCTTCTCTAGATAACGTAGTCAGTTATGGTCTACGCTATACTGAACATAGCAAAAATGGGATGTGTGGGCTCGGTGTGGAAGATGGCATGGTGCTGCCGTCAGCATCGTTCGAAAATAGAATCTCACAAAGACAGCGCGAGAGACTCACAAGCCCTTCACTACCTTGAAACAATTGATCAGTGCCAAATTTGTCTGGCTGAAGAGAAATAGTGGCATGCGCATCAACCTGCTCTTTTTATTTTTGAATAATTGTCGAATACATGGCGAACTCCCAGTAGGACTCAAATGAGAGACTGTTATTGTCTTTCAAGCTCTTCAGAGCTGCGCTTTTTAAGAATTGTAGATCTAATGTCGCTTCATTGTCCTAGCATTAGCATTTGCTACAGAAGTAAGTGAAAGGATCGGTTAGACGGCTCTTACTAGCAGTACCGTCTTAATCAAGGTTCTCAAAGCAGAATGCAACCCCACGTTCCTTCAACCCAAACTGGGTAAGTCCTTTGGGGTGGCAGTCTGATACGGTGGCATCCCGATTTGTCTGACCTTCTTATTAAGTAGTCTTATCATTCAGTATGGAATATGACTCTATTGGCTAGAAAAAATGCTCACTTGAAGACGATTTCACTGTTCTCCGAATCGTTGAGGCCATATGCATTGTCCAGCGCAGTCAATTTCCAATGTTCCAGGGGAGGATCATGCTGAAAGTATGATTGAAGGAAATGAACTTGGACATGAAAAATTCTGAAGCCAAACCTGCCACAGCTGACTAATGAATTCGATTTGCTGTAAGGGTTGCATGGCTTTGAAGGAGTCGGTGTTGATGTTCTTGACTTCGACCTCGTCCGCTTCGATCCATTGCTTGAATAGCGCCTCACAGGCGATGACCATTGCTTGTCCATAGCTGTAAAAAGCAGTTTTATCTGAAAGTCTTTTCCTCAATGACAGGAATAATGCTGAAACGTAGATGATGTGAAATTCAAGGTAAAGGGTTCCCGATTGATTCTTTCCTAAGGAGGTAAATCAAAAGTCATTGGTATAGGGAAGGTTTACAGGGAGTCACACCTGGCGGAGGACGACTTTCTGGGAAAGAATGTCTCGAGCGAAGTATAGAAATCGTGAATAAATGAAGGTAGATAAGATTAAAAAATGAAGTTTTGAGCGTTAATCACTCCCATTTTCGGCATGACCCCCGCCTTCGACTTCCATTGAAAATCGTAGTGGGGAATCAAACTTACTCAGGTTTTTCTGGTGGCATACCGACTGCGTGGAACCATGCGTCGAAGTCGACAGTGTTCAAAATGTCTCTCTTGTCCTGCAAGCACTTCAATCCGAACTGTAGCCATTCTCTTCTTCAGGAAGGTACTTACTTGGAAATACTCGTAGAGATGTTTCTTCCATTGATGACTATCGATGGCCTTATGGGCGAATGTGGTCAGGTAGTCCCGTAGGTATGCTTCGAAAATTTCTGAATCAAAGCACTTTCGATAAGTAAAATTGATTTTCTAGATATTTCGAAGGGGGATCGAGGAGTTTTTCTTCTTAGTTACGACGAGTGCTTGATGAAAGTCAGTAAAACGAGCCCCTGCACTGACAATATCGTTTTTAGACCAGAGTTTTTGTGGCGGTGTATCCTGAAAGTTCTCAGTCTATGGGTTCTAAAAACATGACACAAAGAAGGTCTGAGTTCCGCCCTCATAATAACTCTCATGCAAAGAATTGGCTGCCTGTGCTTAGTTTGTTCTAGTAATTTTCTTGAAAGACTAGACGCTATCTGGAAAGAAATTGACAATATTGGATTTTGGCTTGACCAGAGTGTAAGTACGTTTTTTAGACATCTGACAGTATACAGTGATCAGTATAAAATTAGATCACTTAGAAAGGGCCTTCAATCAATGGTTCAAGCCAAATTCACTTTTTTGCCCTGGACGGAAGCTACTGTCTGTGATAATCGTCCCTGTCCAGAGCCGATTTTTCTTACACAGACGCTATAGAAGAAATACATAACTAAAGTTTTTACTCTTTTAAATTAAGTACTGATAGCAGAGGCTAGGCGTATACCGGGGGAACTAATTAAAACTTAGTTACTATCATTGGCCACATACCCGATCCACCAAGTTTTTGTTCCAAGTAGAACAGCAAAGCGGATCCTTTCTCGTAAGGGACACATGAGAATGCAACATCAGGGTCGACGTTTGTGTGATCTTGGATGAGTTTGGTGAACTGGTGGGTTGGAGTAAACTGCTCGTAGACCTGCAACAAATTGCTCGAGTAATTTATGATGGCTCGGAATCAATTCATCAGTTATAAAAAGATGAATAACTGGTATATCGTAAGTTAAGTGCCGAAGTCGTCGCAAGAACAATTCGTATTTGAAATATTGTGATCTTGTTGTATTCATTATATTATCTCCACTGATGAAAAACAATGAAGAGTGAAGCCTTTGATGTTAATCAATCTCGTTCTGGGATGCGCCCCCCTTTGACCTCCACTCAGAATCGTCGCAGTGTTTTTGAATGCGTATGTGGTTGTACAATGAATTACTAGTGGTCAGCCAAGGTACAGTACTGTGCTCTATCCTCCCAAACGAAGGTCGATTGAAACACCCACCACGAAAGGCAGAAGACTTGGTTTCTTCATGGAGGTATGCGATTCCTCTCAATATAATATCTCTACTTGTTGTAGCCTACGTCAGAAGTCATTTAGCCTCATTTAAAAAAACTGTAATATCTTTACTCGTCGATTTGAGGTCCTATAATAAAACAACTTACAGCTGGTATGAGATTATTTGTCCAGCCATTGAATGACATAAACTGTCGATAGTCTTCGCTGACCAGTCGACCGCAAATCTTTCGTTCGATGAACATTGTGAAACCCTCGTTCAGCCTAGAAATATGATATTTCTTATGGTTAGTAACTTTTGGTGCGTTGGACAAAAGTTGAGCAAAATTTTGAACTCCGGTAGGTTCTATTGAAAACTTGTCTTTGTGGGCAGTTTGGCCTACGGAAACCCTATGGCATCCAATGAACGAGAAAGACCATGACAATCACCCAAATCCGATCTGCTTTATGTCGCCAGAATACCTGGGATTGCAATAAGCTTTGAAGCGGTCAGCTAACCGTATCACAGGGTCAGACCCTAGGATTCAGGTGGTATTCATGGAATTGCATTGAGGAGGTATTTATGTCCTGCATGTTGAACAATCTCTTTGGGTCAGTTTTTATTGGACCTGGTCATGCGAGGTGATCTGGCGCCAGCGCGTGCGGTCCGTAGTCGTGTAATATTGACGGCCTAGTCACTATTTTGACGAGAAAAGTCTCTTCACCTTTTCTTCTCTCTACCTTTTTTTTCTTCATTACTCATGACGTAGCACGAGGATTTTCTGGATTAACAGATGCTGTAAGTGCTGACGTTAAGTAGCCAAAGCTGTCTTTGACGACATGTTTTCAAAGAAATCTACTACGGCGAAATGTTCGAGGAATTAATAAACCCAGTTTTTTTTTAAATCAAATTGTATGAGATAAACAATGTTTCCCGTAATGGCAAAATCTTGGGATTAATGTTATATAAAACTATGTGGTGTGTTAGATTATAGACTAAATGCAAAATAACGAATAAAGGTATATTACTAGTGAAAGAAAAGATCAGTTTTATGAGATTTGGATCAAGTTGCCGTCAGTCGAACGACATTTCCTACTTTGTACGACCTCTCCTTATGTCCGGTCGGATTTAATAGAGTTTTAAAGTCTCGTTCGAGTTTTCAGGGAAAAAGGTTTACCAGAACGGACTAGCCTATAGAACTAGTTATTTAGTTTTGCCTTTGCAGTTCTCAAAGCACGTTTTCTCAAGAACAATTTCTTAGCCATATTGCCGGTGCCCCTTCTGCCCCTTTCTTTCCGGAATATTTATTCCTGAACAAATTCTTCCGAAGGTAAAGATTTGTGGAATAGCTGAGAATTGCCTTCAAGTGATGTGTTTTGTGAAGGAAATTGGAGGGCTTACCAGAAATGCTCCCAACTGCTGTTTGTCACCAAATTTCCCGACCAACTGTGTGCTATTTCATGAGCAATCACGCTGACCAAAGAACGATCACCGGCCTTTGAATGAAAGTTGAAGTGAATATAGGAAGATTAAGGTAAATAAACACTTTCTAACGAATCCTCAGAATTAGACCTAATCGGAAGAATTCATAAGTGATAGAGCAATTCTAGTAGCTATCTGCTTCCGAAACATTTCGAAAGCGTTGTGCATGCTGGACATGGACCGCTTCATGGAAGCATTCACATATTTGTATATGGCTATCTTCATTTGAAGAGAGCAGTTTCTTTCATTATTTACACCCCTACACGTCAGGCAATCATTCGCATTGAAAGCAACTTACAATAAGCGTTGGTGTAAGAAATGTGAGACACGGGTTTTCCATACCGCCGAACGGAAATGATGGCGGCAAGCACACCATGTCGTACCTTGAATGAGCCAAGGTTGGGAAATTCACTAGTTGAACACTTTGGAAGTTCAAATCGCAAAATTATTACCTTCCCCAAATGTACTTGCCAGCAATTTCCTCCGCACAAGTAAGGATATCTTCAGTTTCTGAAAATTCCCAGTGCGCTTTGTCTACTACGGATGGTTCCGCCCAAACAGCAACTCTAAAAAATTGGGGTTGTAGGGCGAATCGCATTTTTTCTGCGTATCTGTTACTTGGGAAACTTCAAGCTATTTCACGATTAAGTTGCTTCAAAGACCGTCAGGATTGGATAGCTTTTGCTCTTGCGGATACGACAGACAGAATTCTCTCTTAAAATGGAGCCTTGATGACTCAATGTTTGGTGATTCCGCCCACTAGGGGCGTGATTGTCAAACCCTGAGCATTTATAGTGCCGCTTTCAGAGAATTTTTCACCATGATCGGGCCATATATGGCCTAATCGAGAGCAAAACCTTCTTCTCATTTCATATCCTGCTAATCAAATATGATCGTGAATAGTGCTTGTCATATAAAAGTCGTGCCTTTCACTGATGTCCCGTTTTTCCAGCGCTCCAACCACAATCGCAATGAGATAGGATGGAATGGCAACTGGTTGTTTGAAGAAGAATGTGGTAAACTCGTCGTCACCCTTGGATCCCTCTCCAATGGCGCTCATCAGACATGTGAGACCAGCAGGTACAGTCACCTGTAATTTTTTATCGATCTCCTTTAGAGGCACCCCGAGGGCCGCAACGCGACTGCGCGCGTCTGATCCCTCTAGATCTTTAGAAGCAATTAAATGTATACCTGAGCTTCGTAGGTGGATTTTACAGAGGGTGTGTCCATACAAGGAACAATCGAACGGGCATGGATGGCTTGACATTGAGAGAATAAGTAAGGAGCCTAAAATGGTCTAAAATCACCCTTGAACTGAGGTTGAAAACGCATGAACATTGCTCTTATTGTAGTTTTTGATTGCTGAACAATTCTATATCAAATTCATTTTGCCAACTCCTCCAATGATTTTCGCTCTTCTCTATAATTATGAAAACTTCCTCAATGGATCAGATATGCCCCCCCCCC